TGAACATAAGGGTGCATATATCCTTTCTGATTGGTGTTTCTAGTTTCTTGGGATATATTCCTAGAAGTTGGATCACTGGGTCAAATGGGAATTCCATTTTTAGTTTTTTGAGGAAACTCCATACTGTTCTCCACAGTGGCTGCACCAGTCTGCATTCCCACCAGCAGTGCACGAGGGTTCCTGTTTCTCTGCATCCTCGCCAGCACTTGTCATTTGTTAATTTGTTGATGATAGCCATTCTGACAGGTGTGAGATGGTATTAAATTATAATAAATTATTTTAATTTAAAAAATTAAATCACAGAATTATTTAGATTTTTCTTCCTCAGACACTCCTTTATGGTGTTTTTTTTTATTAAAAAACAAAATATGTCCATTTTCTTTGTCAGTATTAAATACTTTATAATCATTAGGATGATTCTAAGATGTTTATAGAACTAAGATGTAAGTCAAGTTGGACATGGTTTAGCAAATAGTAACTGTAGTTTTGTATCTAGGAGATTGTAGTAAAGCAGATTCTTTGTACTGATTCAATATCAATTTGACAACCCTGACCTTTTACTAAGTATGACTTTAGTGAGATACCTTTTGTCTTTCATTTATAGGGGAAAGAACTCATTAGAAAGGCAATGCAAGGAATTTCAGAATAATAAATCTCAAATTAACAATTCTACTTTTAATGATTAGTTGCCTGAATCTTGTATTTAATTATAATGGTTACTTTAAATGATTATATTTAATTTAAACATAATTAGCTAAACCTTGATGTTACTGCCTCATCTATTTTGAAATTAATTATAAAATAGCTCAAAAAGTGCTGTGACATTTTAATATTAAAATGGATCAGAATCAGTTTGCATCTTTTGTTGGTTTCAGTTGTGAACTTATATTGAGCCATTTATATTGGGTATGACTGTGGGTCTCTGGCATGGCGATCATATAGTAGAATAAAATATATGTAATTGATGTTTCCTCTATACATATGAGAGAACCTTTAACCTACCAGGCAATACTAGTCTATAATCAAAGATACGACTGGTTAAGCTTTAAAGGAATTGAAATTTTATAAGTAAATTCTGCCCTTAATACATTCGGGAGAAACCACTGTTTTTAGCAGGTGATTCATATGTGTGTAGCTAGCCTCTGCACCTTACATTCTTTGAGTCAATCTAATGATATAATCAGAAAGTGTTTCCAGGAAACGTTCTGAATTTAACTTCTATTTAGACAAACAACATGGTTTATATATACAGGAACCAAGAGAGAAGGGCTAGTGATGTACAGTTGTTTTTCCTGGTCTACAGAACATGAGAATATTGAAAAACACTCACCATAGCCATTCAGAGTCGGGTTCCTGGTGCTGTGAGAAGTGACATCCATGAATGTTCTCAACCCTTGATATGCAAAACTGTATACTGTGCACATGTGTTTATTAATGATATTGCTATTGTTTATTAGGTACTGAGTATGTATTAGACACTGAACCGAATGCTGAATGAGGTGATATTATTAGGCCCACTTTACAGATGAACAAAATGAGGCTTGGGCATGCTGAGGTACTTGCCCAAGGTCAAGTGATGGAGGCAGGATGTGAAGCCTCACTTCACAGATCTGGACCTCACTGTCCCCAGTCTCCTTCTCAGAGGTCTAAGGCATTCTCATTGCCTACAACCACCACCACCAATACCACAAAAAGTGTCTCCCTTGCAAAAATAGGGTGAGCTAATTAAAAGGTGGCTTAACTATCAATACCAAAAATCTGTTGTCCCCAGTACTAATACCCTCTCATGCCAATATGTGCAGAGTTTTCAAATATTTTATTAAAACATGGGCCTTTTACTCTACAATGAGCCCTTTTAGTTGGGAGAATCTGTTGCCCCCATTCCCTGACATGAGCTCAAATCTTCTGTACCCCAGCCCGCCCTGTAGGAATTTGAATTCTGAGCAGGTTATCAAGTCAGACTCAGCTAACACATCCAGTGAAGTTGTGTGGAATATTTCTCTTGCATTCACACAAGTGCTGTTATGTGGCCTACCAGGATGCCTGCGAGCTATCTGGTATCTCAATTACCTCCTCTGCCATCTGTTTCTGTTTCTCTCAGTCCTGCTCCCTGGTTCACTAAACAATGAATGATAGATACTCACACCCAAGAGCTAGACTCAGGCACATTCTCTGCAAAGAATGTAGGTAACAAATAGATATTCCTCCCATTTAGATATTAGATTGAGATCAAAACCACAGTTATGCATTGATTTCAATTTTAATGTTTCAAGTATCCGTCATTATCTTAACTTTGGACATCCTTACAAGGTCCGAAGGACTGGGACCATCAGAGTAACCACGATGGCGAGGAACCAGAGTGGGGAGACAGACAGCCTCATCTGCTCTGTGCATCTTATGAAGGCCTTTAAATACCATCTGTTTTCTGCTCTTTTCTGGCTACCGTTTTCCCTAGGCTAAAAAGATTTAAAAATGACTAGGGGAAAGAAAAAGCAACCTGAGAAACTAGTTTGAGATTTTAATTCTTTATTTCATTTGCCAGCCACTGAAATGCAGTTAACTGCAGCAAGTGTTCCTCATAGATAAGGGAATTGTTGCTTCACATATAATTACATTGCCTCTACCGGTAGACATAGCCAACCGTATCATCTCCATACTATTAGAAGTGCTAGGAAGTCTGAAAAGAATCCATTTTAAGGAGGGTCAGAGCTACTTTTATTTTACTTCAAACCAGGGTTATCATGGAATAAAACTGATAACTCTTTTGGGGGAACAATTTTTGGAATATAAAAAAGTGCATTGAAGGGTAAATGAAACTGACTGTTGTGACTGGCAGCAAGTTCAGGCATTTTGTGTTCTTTTGTGTTTGCTTTGGAATGTTAAACAGGTCGGGTTCTTTTTAAAAGAAAACATTTTATTCAGAACATTCTCCCATGAAAGCCATCTTTGACAAACTGTCATTTTTTGATATATTACTACATGTCTGCCCTCATTTTACATTCAAAAAAGGCAAGCAATGTTTTAACAACTTTTGACAAGCATGGGGAAT